AGTCTCAGTTCCCAAATAGCACTAGGATAGGCTCTTTTTTCCTTGAAGTAACTTGAATGGGTTTCCGTTCTCTGCATCCCGATTGGCCAGATGCCTGACTGTCCTGTGTGCAACTTATTTACAACCAAATTGGGGAGAAAAGACTTAACGTGAAATAAGGACTGAATGGCCCATGAGGGGATGTCATTAGTTGAACATTGTGCTTCTGTGGATGACTTAGGTCCTGTGGAAGGTCAGGACATAGGAGCACGAGGCTTGCTGAGAAAACACTTAATTGAGGTGAGACTTGAGTGCTCACACAGTGGAACTTTTAAGATACACTCGCATCACCAGAGGCCTGATGAGATGCAGGCCCTAAACCAGTGGGTCTGCGGCGGTGGGGCTGGCGCTGCCGTGTTTCTGACAAGCTCAGGGGCTGTGCTGAGGCCGGCCTGCGGGTTACAGTTTGAGTAGCAAGATGAGTGCCATCTTTTTTAAGATCCGAGAGGGTGTTGGAAGTAGATAGAGGAATCCATTGGGAAAAAAAATGGTGAAAGTGAACATGGCTTATTTGAGATTTCTTAAGTGAGCTGGCCAGGAGCAGAGGGGCACTTGGAAGTCGGAGGATGTACCTGGAGCTACTGCTGATTCCAGAGCTTTTTGGATGCCCAGATAAGTCATTTGGATATAGAATCAACTATTTGGAGAGGATCTTCAAGCTCGTCCAATTCAATGTCTCACTCAAGCATGATGCCAGCATATAATATCTCTAATAGGACCAGTTAGGAGCCCAGTCATTACAGGGGAGTGACATCTCCAGAGAAGTGTTTCTAGAAAGATTAAGCCTGGAAGTGCGTTAGATGGTTGGAGGAAATGACTGTATAGATAAACTCTGTTGTTGTTGTTTTTTTTTAAAAAAAAGTCTAAAAATGATAAACTCCAGGATTAGTATTGGAGGGGAGCAGTGAGAATAGGAAGGGAGGAATCAGAGTGATAGCTAAGTAAATCATGAACTCATTCCACAGGGAGCTATTGAACCCTTAACCAGCACAGTTCCAGTGAGCAGAATACAGAAAGGCCATCCCTAGACGTGCTTACGTTCTAGTGAAGTGAGAGACAAAGGAAACACAATCCGTTAGCAGATTATAGAGCTTCTTCTGTGGTTAGTGCTATGGACGAACGAAAGAGGAGGTGACATGCGTAAAACTGGTGGATGGCCTGCCGTTTTCAGTAGGTTGGTTAGGCTAGCCTTCTGGGAAAGCTGGAGGAGGGGAAGGAGTTAACCTGGAGGGGACCTGGGGAAGGGTGTTTCAGGCAGAAGGAACAGCCAGAGCTAAGGCCTCAATGTAACAGAGAGTCAGGAATGGTAAAGGGACTGTGAGAGGGAGGATGGTAGGAAATGAGGTCAGAAAGGTCATATCATGGGACAGGGAGATGGAGTGAATATAGGGCAGGGGACAAGGGGGTTAAAATGATGGGAGATTTTCAGGCAAGATCCTGGGTATCTCATGAAAACTTCCGTTTCCTGGGCTGGCACATGAAAATTCTGTGCAGTCGATTTTTTATTTTTATTTTTAGGAACTCTGCTTTACAGTCTTAAACCTGATTTGATTGAGAAAATCTGTTTAAAGATAAGGAAATTATCTCTCAATACAATAAGAGAGATAAATTCAGATTTTAAAGTAATTGTGGGACATCCAAATGGACATATTTTGAAGATATTAGAAATTTGGCAGTTATATGTGGGAAAAATCAAACAGGAGTCTCACGTTGGAATAGTTGAAACCCTTATACTA